CGCAGCCAGGTGCAACAGGTATGAAAACACATAAATTCGAGTTGTAAAATGCTACACCCATGACATTAAGTTTTTTGAGGCTGATAGACAGTCCCCGATGTCAAAACACCTGGAAAGGAAAGAGCCACCTGCATGCTACCGCACCGCATACACTTGTGTGCATACCCCAGTGCAAGTTGTTCTCAACTTGCCAGCCCAACACACAGCGCGCAGTGTGAAGGCCTATGTGGCAAATCCAATCCATGTTGAAGCTTTCAAGATTCTGGCTGCAGGGCCTGAACAAACTTTGACACTGCTTCATCGATGATTTTTTTCAACTGCTGGTGCATGTTCTGTACTGCCCAGTACTCAGTAACCTTGAGCCCGTCATTCAGCTCTTCACGTTTTCCGACTTCGTCCACAAACCTTGCCTTAGTAAACAAAGTAAATTCAACACGCACATGAATCATGGACATATATGTGTTGCACAGCATTGTCTTGAGCATATATATGTGTGTTGCACTGCATTATATATATAGCGCGTGTCTTAACACAAACAAGTTGCCAGCATTTCAGCACCCTTGAGAAGGGCCACCATCTTGAACGCTGCTGGACATTCCAGGTTGGGGCACGAAAAGTACCCAAAGTCAGTCTTCTCTTCAAGGTGGTGCAAACCAACAGCAGGTCGTTTCCAGTACACATTGAGTCTACAGGAGAAAAAGGGTGCCAGGAAACTGCGCACTGTGGACAGCACATCTTTTTCTGACAAGTGCGAAAAGTTGTGCATGAAACGCAAGACTTCTTCAACCCGCCCCTTCCAGGTAGTTGCAAGAACACGGGACTGCTCAGGTTCTTCCACTTCTGGTTCTGCTGCTCTTTGACGGCGTGCTGCCTTGGAAGGTGCTGATGCGCTTGCCTTTGGGGCTGCTTTGGGCGATGCTCTGCGTGCTGCTGGTGCTGCTTTGGGGGATGGCTCGGGGGATGCTTTGCGCGATCTTTTCTTTGCTGCGGCTTTTGCTTTGGCTCTGGGTGTCGCGGGCGCTGCTTCAGGTGCATGCGTGTCAGGGCGTTTCTTTGAAACCTTTTGCTTCTTGGTTTTCCTAATCCTCCCGTCATGTTTCTCCTCCTCATGGTTCTCCTCCTCATGGTTCTCCTGCTCATGGTTCTCCTTCTCGCTCGCAATCGTTTTGTTGCATGCCTTTCGCTTTGAATTGGGTGTCTTGCCATTGGTTTCCTCTGGGGCCTCGGCTGCTGCCTGAGTCTTGCGAGACTTCTTTGGTTGGGTGACATGAGAGTCATCACCTTCTTTCAAAGTGTTGTAGCTGCATGCACTGTCCCAATAAGCAGTACTGTCCCATGCCCACTCCTCTGCATTCCACTCATCATCCCACCCATATTGAGTCCATGCATCCTCAGTACCCCAAGCTGCCCACTCCCCATTCCACGGGTCGCTTTTCTTCTGTGGCTTTGTCGCCTTTGCTTTCCCCTTGGGACTTTTCCCAGCTTTCCCAGGACGGGATCTACCCGATTGCTGCTCACTGCCATCGCTCTTCCCACGACCTTTTCCCTTCCCCCGCCCTTTGCCACGCCCTCTGCCTTTGGCACGCCCTCTCCCTTCACATGGTGTCTTTTGGTCCAACTGGTTTTGTCTTGTGGTCTTTGCTGGAAGTGGCTCGGCCTGTCATGGTGCATAGCCAAAAAAAAAATCAACCAACATAAGGTACGGAGAAAAAGTGCAATTTATGTGTAAAAGGAGTTTATATATCATGTGGGTGTATATATATGATATATATGTTAACCCGATAGCAGAACAACATACAGTACATCAAACCTTTAGTCATCCCAGCCTCTTGGTCGCTTTCTGTAAATTGATCTTTTTGCGTCACATCATCAGTCTTCGTAATCTTTTTGGTAGTGACTGGCTTATTTTTTCTCTCAACCGTCTTCTCTGGCTTTGCATCCTCTGAACTCTTGTCTTCTGTTGTTCTTGCTCTGGGTTCTGGTTTCACCTGATACTTAGATCTCTTGTCATCTGCTGTGGCCAGTGGCGACATGAAACCCTCTGGGGGTGTCTCTGCGGGTGTTGGCAAACTTGTGACATCGACTGGTTGTGTGTCAACCTGATCAATTGACACCTTTGCTGCGCTGCTGCTGGGGGTTCCTGCGACACACATTTGTGCATCAGAAAGAATCTTTCTGTTTGGTGTATATCAAAAGAACCTTGAAGCATAACATTTATTCTTTACAAGGTAGAGCCGGTACTGTATATATATTATATACAAAGTGTCGCAAGAAAGACTATACACTTGCAGATCAGTGTGGGTCTCCTGTCGAACATGGTTTCCCGGAAACCGAAGAAGCAGTGGAAGCCACCGATTGGGCAGCATCTCGATTTGCTCGTAGCCTCATTGGCCGGGTTACGGTATTGAAACGAAAAATGCTTTATCAATATGTAAAACGAAAGTTTGAGATGACTGGTACGTGATGTATAGACAGGAATCATTTGCAAACTATAGTTTTGACCTTCTAAGATGTTTCAGGACGTTTGTTTGACATGACGAACCCGTTCAAAATCATGACCGGAAAAGTGTTGAATAACAGTATCATAAATAGCAAATTGCAGACAAAAAGCGCTGCAAGCTTTGCCAATACAAGCTCCTTTTGATCTCGCAAGGACGCCATCTTACCTTGACATGTGATGTGTGCAAGAGTTACACCCACCCATGCGTGTTCACTTGCGTTTGACTTTAGTTGGGAACAAAAAAATAATTAACAATGTCCTGACTCACGATAAGTTATATTTGTATGTTTATCGTATCTTTAAAACAAGTTACTGCTGGAGTCTCCACTGTGACCAGGATCTTTGGAAGGTTCATGTTTCTTGTTCTCAGCTGCCTGACCCTCCTCAACACCAGCCTGTTCCTTCAAGACATCCTGAGTCTTGGAACCAGCAGTCTCTGGGATCTGACCTGGGCTTTGCTGCGGCTCTTGGCTGACCTCTGGCATGTCCTTACTGTTATGTTTTGGCTCACCTTCCTTTGCCTCGGAAACATGGTCTTCCATACATGGGTCATCACCTTCTCCGTTTTCCTCATCCTCCGATTCCTCGTGTTCTGCTTCTTCAGTCTCACTCTCGTCTTCAAGGTCCTTTGTCCATGTGCGCATGTAAAACCCTATCTGCATATATACAGTAGAATCTGAAGACCATATTTACAAGTGATCACACATCACATCACACCCCAGGACAAAACTGCGCAAATGTTCACCATGAAAAAATGCATGCAAAGGTGCATATATATAGAGGAAACAATAGTGTTTTTTCATGTGGGATCCATCCCCCCATAGTTCCTTGGATCCTTTCGCTGCCCTTCGCTCAGCCAACTTGCGGTTGACCTTGTCGATGTGCTCCTAGCGAAGCTGCGCAGGGTCAAACTAATGCAGCCATATATAACATGCTTTGCATTTACAACTAATGTTTTTTGATTTGAACACGTTTTGCATGCATGCAGTTCTATGAAGCAAAACGTTAAATTGATCGGCTCTTTCAACCCCGGTTGTCAAAACCCATCCCAACCTGTAAGGAAGGGTCCAGCTCAAGGCACATGTCTTGGAAACTTGGCACCTCACACATCAGTGCATGTATGTACCATGAAAAAAACAAAGTTGATTTTGAGATCCATGGGCAACAAAATGGATTATTATTTTCAGGAAATGTTAATAACGTTACAGCAATAAATATGTGTTCTTGTTTGTTTTGGAACATGAAGCAAAAATATACTGCGGAGAAGGCACATTACTGACTTCATGCCTTCTCACTTTCATTTTCAAAAATCCTAGAAGCTTTCGAATCCTCCAGGAGATGCCAATCACATCCGGGGCGTCCTCTGGATTTTGCCCTCTCTTGGACTTCAGGTAGAGAGCTTCCACCTCATCCCTTAATGAGTCTACGACTGGCAAGGGGCGAGTTTCTGTAAGGCTCATACGTACGATAAGGGGTTGAAGCACATCATGGTTGGCAACAGTGGTGGCTATATCCTCGCCAAGACCTCCCTCCAACAAATTTCCACCTGACCGAAGTCTCTCACGGATAACATCGTTGTCGTCCCACTCTGTGGATAATTTTTTGATGTCCAAATTTTCACTGACACTTGCCTTGGGCCTACCGGCAGGTTTCTTCTGCTTTGTCATGGCAAGCCGATGCTGCTGCGGCTCACCACCAGGAGAAACACCGATGAAACTTGAGCCTCAAATGGGCTAGAATATATGATGTACATCTGGTTTGCGTGAGCTCATAGTTTGTTGTGGAGTTGATGGTGAAAGCATCCCTATATAGCTACAAACGTTAAAGAATCCCACGAACTTCAAGAAGAGTGAAAAAATACCAGACTGCTTTCCTCCAGGACTGAGAGTCCCCACTGGCCATTCCGGAGCGTTTCCGGTGGCATTGGACGGCATTGGGCAAAAGAGATCGGAAGGGCTGATCGGGCGTGAGGTGGAAAATTGAAAGTTAATTTCAGGCACCGTTCCTCTCACAGAATAATTACATTTCTTGGTGGCTTACATTTGGAAATCAAATTCATTGACATCAATAACTTTGATCGACCAGCTCAATTTCATCAATAAAGAAAGGTTGACCATTGTTGATCTTTTGTTAGCTCATCTAAATATATGTGAGAAATGAAAAAAACCATATCCAATAGATAAACCTTCACTGCGTCCCCAGCAGTGCTTGACCAAACAGGTCCTGGGCATGTAGGCGGCCGGCCAGGGTTCACAAAATTAGGGTTTTTAAGGGATATGGCCAAAACCCGAGGTTTTTACTGGAAACCCGAGGTTTTTCCGGATTCTGTGGAAAACCCGAGGTTTGTGTACAAACCCTTTAAAAATAAAGGGTCTAGCAGTTAAGGGTCTATATATATAATTATATATGTATATATAAGTTCAATGTTGTTTCCATGACTTTCTATTGCCATCTCGATCCCTATATCTCCCATGGGCACCCACCCAACAAGCGCATCCGCCTTGGCGTGTCGAATCGGAACCTCCACAGGATGAGAGCTGCGCAGAGCGTCCAGCTGCAAAGCACGACTTTGTTCTTCTACCACCTGTGAGGACATACCCTCCGGTAATTTAACATAGCTATTGAAAATGGCTATATATTTATAGTGGATTTTCCCATTAAACATGGTGATTTTCCATAGTTATGTTAAATTACCAGAGGGTACAACCATAGAATTCATTCACCGTGGATGGATTCACTTCAATACCCATGTTCAACATCAAACCAAATCAACAAGATTAAACACGATTAAAGAAGCTAGAAACTCAACCAACCGATGCCACCAGCATATTCCAACGGCAGTATTGCCACCACCCAGCTGGTTCCTATGAATCTCAGTCGTCGACATACTGCTCCCAGATATGCCACTCAGGGAAGAGAACATCAACCGCCTGAGTCCTTGGCCACAGCTTTGGGCGACAGGAAGTTCAAGGGTAGATATACCCTTCGGAAATTTAACATAGCTATAGAAACTTACCCTTTCAATAGGTAAATCATCTATAAGAAATGGACCATTTTTAATATAGCAATGTATAATATATGTTATTGTAAATTACCAGAGGGTAGATTGCTTGTTTGCTGCAGTGTTACATAGGAAACAAAGATGGGTAAGGATCTGACACCACCTCATCCCATCATATGCCATCCCTATGCCATCCCTATCACCTCTCCGTTGCTCAAAGAGTTGATATGAGTTGATGACTATGACCCACGACGCCAGTTGAATCGGAGAGTCTGCATCCAATTGGCAAAACCTTCATTTAGCCAAAGCTGATCCCACCACTCCATCGTCACCAAATTTCCAAACCTCGAGAAAATCAGACCAAGGAAGGGGCCATGGTCCATGAGATGCCACAAGAAATCAGCCTCTGTCTAGTAGATTTTCAGTGGCACACTTGCAACATCTTGCAAAGTCATCTGGTTGGTTCAATTCAATCCATCTGACAAGGCTTTGTATGGTACATTATGGTACAAAAAAGTGAAACACTGCAAAAACTGCCTGGCCGTTCCCAAGATCTGAGTGTTGCAGAGCTCAACCAAAGTCAGCAAACATGTCCACTGGGCACATGCCTTGAATCCATAACCAGCAATGCTTAGCCACTTAGGGTTCCATCATTCCAGTTCAGGATTGGCAGTATCACATTTATCCAATGAATTCCAGTGATATGACATCACCACAAAGGCGTGGCGAAACCCTGAGGCAAGGCACCACATATGTGACAGTTCGTGCGTGACCACGGTGGCAATTCGAACCTTCCTTGCAACTCCCACAGTGGTCTCATTGCAAAGCAGGTCCACCTGGGTCGGTGGCTTGGCAAGGGCATGTGGCCCAAGATGGTCCAAGTGATTGAATTCATCATGAACACCACTGGTATCACCAGTAGCATTTGCACCTCCCTTTCTAGACAAAAAATGATGGCAATATATGGCAATAATTGGCAATATATATATATATATCTATCTATCTATCTATCTATATATATGTATAATCTAATATATATATATTGGCAGGCGGCTTCTAAGACCCGACAGTGGCCTCGCGGTAGATCACCAGGCCCCAATTCTCCATGGCACCAGCTGCGAAATCCGGGGCTGCCAGCATGTCCAGTTTGGGCAAAGGAAAGGGAACTCCAAAGTAGTCCTGCGTGGCAAGACGTTCCATCCCATTTTCTTGGAAGATCAAGAAAAGCAAAGTCCATTTGATCCACAGCCCCCCCTGTTAATCAAATTGTCTGGGCACATTTTTACAGAATTCACAGACCAAACTTTAAAAGCAATTTGCTGGAACAATAAGAGCTGCTAATCCACTTCCATTGGAGGATTGGAATGATTGGAATTAGATTCACCAACCAAACTTTGGAATATCTCCATCACCTGTGAGGTCGGCCAGTTGGGTGCTCCTCATAGTAGCTGAGGGCCCTGGCAGCCACAGACAGGGCGAACTGCCCCTGCGCCTCGGAGTGGAGTTTGAGCTTTTAGATGCTTTTTCTATGAGTACACCATTGGCTTTCCTTAGTGATATATGAAAGCTTCCATTTTGGAGGATGACACCTGGGATGCCATTGACCCTTCAAAAAAATGCAAAATGATATAAAATGATGCAACACGACAAACCATGGGATGGAATGCCAGCATTTGAGACATATACGAATGAACTTCAAGGAGAATTGCAGGCCAGCGCTGACAAATTTGCGAAATGAAATGGATCGGCGGTTGGGCCAATCATGGAGGCCCCTTCCAAAACCACCCACATGAAGGATTTAATTAATTTAATATAATTTAATATAACTTAATTATGTCAGTTTTTTTCCGAGCAATGCCAGCATTGCAAAAATCATCCCATATCATCCCCAACGGTCATCACAAGGGATGCACAATGTGATACCATGCCATGCCCCACGAGGGGTGCGGTCACCTGATGTCATCTGGCACGGCGACGAGATCCGACGAGGCACAGCTTGGCCGGGCATGGTCAACACTCGGATCAAGGTCCCATTGACGGTCTGCGCCTCTACATGTTGATCGTTGACCCTGGGATTAAGAAAAAGCCTTGGCCTCCAAAATTCAATATACAGTAATTAGAACATCATAGAACTGGAAAAGACCTGGAACTGTGGGTTCCCCAAGTGTTATATCATGTTCCAATATGTTCCAGTCGTGGCTTCCAGTCTGAACAGGAACATGGCTTTGTTGGTGGCTCGGTCGGCCCAAAAACGCGCACTTTTTTGGACGCACTTCCCATAGGCACAGCGCGTTTGTGTGCATTTTTACCACGTACGTCAGTGTTTCGTGGGGTTGGGGTGGGGCGGGTTGGGGTGGGGCTAATAACGTTCCCTGGCATTTCACATGTTGCTACGCTTGCACATGTTGCTACGCTTGCACATGTGGTTAAGCTACGCAGGTGGGGTGGGGTGTGGTGGGGTGGGGCTAATAACGTTCCTTGGTATCTAACATGTTGCTACGCTTGCACATGTGGTTAAGCTACACGAACATGGGTCTGATGTTAAGCTGATAGAAGATGTTCCTATGTTTGCAGATACATCTTCTTATAGTTTTTCTTACTTGTATACCAGATGGTGCCTGTCGGTGTTTTGAACAGATGTTGATTATATGTTGAGTTTATGTTGAATAGACGTGATTATATTATATGTTGAATAGATGTTGAGTAAGTGTTGAATTTATGTGGATTATCATATCTGTCGAATTTATGTGGATTATAATTATGTCGAATAGATGTTGAATAGATGTTGGGTACATTCAATCCAGAATCGAAGCAAAACAGTGAACATTGGAATTATGTTTATCATATATGGTGACGCCTGCCGGCGCGCATTTACGAGACGACCGACCGTTGGTTCATTCGTCGTTCGTTCTGCCTGGATGGTGTCGAAGCGACCAACTGCAAGTGCGAGAAGATAGCTGGACATCCTCATGGCACAACACTTGAGATCTCTGAGCTGGTTCGGTTTCGACTTCAACTTTGGGCTTAGGAACGTTGGCATTTACTTGATTATAATCGTGCGATTGTGTGGAATCACATGCAATCGCTTCACAGAAACCAGCAGAAATCTTGATTGTTGGCAATTGTTGCATGAACCCCTCGGTCTGCGTCTTGCAGCTCACCTTCTGGCTCTGGGGTCACTCTAGCTAAATGGGATTGCAAGGGGGTTCGCTTGACATCTCTTGATTCCTGACACTACATCTGGCTAAAGAAGCTACATACATAATGCCTGCGACATACTGCTATGCAGCTGCAATGCCTGCCTTCTAAACTTTGGGTCTGATTAGCTTTTCTGATTGATTTGCTCGATCTTCAAATCAAATTGTGAGCACTCACCCACCTCGCATCCAGGCTGGTTGTAGAATGCCAACGATAACTAGGTGCCAACCCCAATGCTGTCTCAGCCCACGTCGGACCCACTCCTTGGGGTGTCCAGGAAGACAATCCTGCCAGGGGTCCCGGGCCCATCACAATCTGCTGAATCTAATTTGGATCCTTTAGTACTTTCAATATCCTGTAAGAGAAAAATCCTTTGCAAGTGGTTACCACTTGATCCACATGTTACAATGCGCAAAATCAACTTTTGTGATAAGACTGAGTGAAATTTCATCTTCCAACATGTAGGAGAACACTGTCAGTCAGCTTTAATTCCTGCTCCTGTATGCCACCAGTCCTTGCTAGAGTGTTGAATTTCAGTGAAAAACACAAAGCCTGGACAGACCTGGGCAAGACATGCCCACATCTTCATGTGCCAAGTCCTCCTCCGTTGACGTTCCAACGTGGTTTCCGACGCAGCTGGCATGTTCGAAACTGCCGTGAGGGCTGAAGGGATCACGACACCGAGCGCCTCAGCATGCAATGCCACACCAGCGCCCCAAGCATGCCTCGAAAAGCATCGGACTTGCTTCGTTGTGTTAATCTCGTTGTGTTTAATTATAAATACATTCATAATGTAGACACATCATACACAATATTGGAATGGAATGCCATATTAAGAAATGTAGGGTAAGGTGTGCCGAAAAAAAGGGGGTCAATATATAGACTCCTTAATGTTCCACCCCTCCTTTTCATCGTTTTTTCATAGTTTTTTCATGCTTTCCATCAGCCACCAGCAACAGCAACGGCCGGGGCTCCCAACGAACACGGCTTTCCTGCTGGGCTCATCCCAGCAGGGCAACATTCTCCGTGCATCCACCGCTTCGAACTGGGTCAGCGCCATGGTTTTCCAACCATCAGGGCCCTTGTATCCTCGGCAGGATGGCAGGGTAGGATTCTGCCACCTGAAGTTGTAAATGGTTATATAAATGGTTCATGTATATGTGAATGTTGATGAATGTTGGTTGTATCATGTTGTATCTGCTATACTTGGTTCCTAATGCGATCCACCTATAGCTGTAATATTGAATACATCCTGAAAGACCAGGGTTTAGCGCTGGATCGCTTCATGAATGGGTCAGAAAAAATGGACAAACATAGTGGGATTCTGTGGGGTTTATCACCCTACATCTAGACAATGAACGAAATGAAGCGGCTAACCAGCGATGTGTTCTTTTGCTCGGTACGTCAGGCCCAGTCTCCACATGCACAGGCTGCTTTGACCTTTTTTCTCTACATAGGCTTCATGCTCACAGTAATTATATGTAATTATTGGTTAACCTAGAAATTTGCCGTTTCTTCTTTCTTCCCATATGAGACCTGTGGAAAAGTCTACCCACCTAGAGTTGCCTATCGGGCAGCGAAACGCGCTGCGCCGCCGCCAAGTAGCTGCTGCTGTATAGCCCTGCCATGTCCTTTTTTTCACCATCCAAAGCCAGCAAAATTTCATATGACAAGAAATGGGTGGCATTCAAAGCATCCCAAAGTTGGAGGTTATACAGATATACCTGGTACCTTTTGGATTTACCGCATCTGCATTTACAATCATTTACACCTGTGGGTAATGACTCAAACAAAAGACACAGCCATCGGTCCAGTACTGGCCGTCCTTGCCCATTTCTCCGGTGTAGTGGATCCGAAGCACAGCGAGTCCCGGTTGCAAGACGTCTTTGAAGTGCAAAGTGACCTGAGCAAACCAAGCTGCAGTTCCTTCAAAACTAGTTGTATGTCTTGAGTCTTGATACAACCACACACGAGCGGCATATTGAAACGGCAAAAATGTAAGTTCGTCCGTTTTTCATTGGGATTGTGCTCCAAATGTGTCTCTGTTAAAAAAAAATATATATAAATATATAACGCGAGAGAGAGAGAGAGAGACCGTTCCACATTGCTCAATGTTGGATAACCGCACCAAAAGAAGGGACCCTGTCATGCCTCTGATTTCAAAAGTAGATCCTGTCTGATTCCGACCCTGAAGGTTTCTGGTTCTGAGGCCTGAGTTTGCAGAACAGTACGATCAAAAGGCATGCAAAGCACTGCCACAAACACATTTGGATACATTTGGGAAAATGTTGCACCTCCAGATAAAATCAATAGTAGAGTAGTAGAAGGAAATGAACACTGTAAAGGCGCTCGCTGGAACTTGGCATCCTTCAAGACCTCCAAGGGATGCAAGGTCGCAGCGCGCCCTGGATCGGTGGTCAGCAACTTGATGGACCCCAGGGTCAAGTCGCGCGCCTGGAAGTAGAACCGATATTCGCTGATGGTGAATGATGGTGATATGTTTTTGCTTCATGTATAATGCATATATCGACATTGTCGGAGTAAATCATGATTGCTGTCTGGTTGCGTGTGTATGGTTCCTAAGAGTCTTCTTTTTAAAGCCCGTCAGCGAAAATCTGCCTTTTTAGTCAAGGTCCAGACTTTTGGAATGGTGTATCATTCCAAATCTCTTTTGGGAGGTTTGACATGGTTTGACGTCAGCTTCCTGTCAGAATTTAAAGTAAACCTGTTTCAGTGACAAGGCTGGAAAATGAGTGATAGAATCATATAGAATCGTCATGGCCCGGTAGAGCTGTGCTCAAAGGCCGCTACTGGATGAAGCAGTTGCGCAAAGCGCACGTAATCATGCCAAATACTCTCTTCATGGCACGATAGGGTTCTTATGAGTTTATCATGGCGTGATCGGCTTACCATCAAATGACAAGCAGCATAACAAGCTTTTCCACGAAGACCGGGATGATCTATATAAAATTATATAAGTACTCTACTGATATGATAGGCTATGGAATGAGAAGCTACCTTGTTTATCCTTGTTTGTCAGTCTACGTTTCTAAGGGACGTAATTTGCCTCGTACGGGGCAAATTAGTGCAGGGTGAGGGGCGTGACGAGGCGAGCACCCACAAATTCGAGTTTTCTTCATAAGGGTCAAAACCATACACCTGCGCACATAATGAAATTATATGAAATTGCGTAACTCCTGTGCAGAATTGTTTGACACTGGGACCATGCCTCTCCTTCACCTGTCAATTTCAATTCAATTTCTGCAACTCTGCCCTCTTTCATGCCATTTTAGAAACGTGCTTGTACGTGCTTGTCCCTTATTGGCATGTGATGCATGCTCTTCAGCGGCTGAGTCGGTGCTAGTATGGCAAGGCGGTTGCAATGAAAGCCTCGCTTTGATCGCAAGCTGTCGGTTGGTTCCTCGCTCAGTCCGAGGTGCGTTGAAGATGATGCTGGAGGTCTCTCGGGTCACATTCAAACTAATGCTCACCTTGCCACTGAAGGCGCTTGACCTGGCAGAAAAATTCAGAAAACGGCATTTTTAACTCAAGCTGCTATTCAACTCATCTCACCATGAAGCCGATGACACCAATGAAACCCCACAAAACCATTGGGGATTGAAAACCCAACGAATATTTTCCAATCCCTAAATTCAGGTCACCTCTCAGGGTCCAGGGTCAGCTCCAAGGCGTAGCGAAAGGGTTCCACCTCGTCGGGTAAAGCCTCATGACCTCAGGATGGCACGATTTATATTCTACTGATATGATTTGATACAGGCTGATATAGGCATCCCTAAGAAGTGATATGCAGTAATAATACAGTTAAGAATGTCTTCCGACAATGTCATAGGTGAAGAAGAAGGAGGAAGAAGAAGACCCTTCGGTTCGTATCAAACAGGTTGTTTTTGTGTATATCCATCCCTTATAGGAAATCATGATACATCACGATACAGTACATCACGGTCATGTTTTGGCTCATTCATGCCCATTCAATCTTAAAGATATATGGATATGGTATCGCATGCTATGGTGACCTAACTTTGGGTGCCGATTGACTCCAAAACGGCTGACTTCAAATGAATTTTGAGGCCCATCCTTTGAGCCACACGTGTTTTGTTCCCAGAGCCATGGTCAATTCCTCATCGAGTTCTGGGTTTACAGTGATTCTGTGTCATTCTTACATCCATCCCTTTGCTTGCCTTCCCAAAAAACTGGATGTGATATCTAAATGATATCTAAATGATATCTAAATGATATCTAAATGATATCTATCTATCTATCTATCCATCCATCCATCCATCCATCTATCTAATCTATCTATCTATTATCTATCTATCTATCTATCTATCTATCTATCTAATCAAACTATCTAATACGCATATATATATATATACAATTATATATATATATATACATATGCAATTATATACATGTGTATATATATATATAAGTATATGTGTGTGTGTGATGGAATGTGGCTGTATCTGAAAATTGTGTATATCACCAAATTGACACTTGAACAAAACAAATGATGAAAAATCAATCGACTTTGGATAAATTTGGGGGTCGCCTATTTTCAGCCAAACCTATTTCAGCAAGAAGCTCTTCGGTCCCTGAACTGGGCCAGTTTCTTCCGTAGCGTTGCTACTGCCATTGCCTTCGTTCGCACAGCTGGGCGCGAAGAACGAGGCAGGCTTCCGTGGCCATAGGGCTGCCACGCAGAGAAGGAGGCAGACCTGAAATGTAAAATGCTTGGAAAGGAGAAAAATACGACCAGCCGCGGCAAAATCCAAGTGAAAATGGATGAAAATGGAACATCAGTTGTAAAATCATATGGCAATCCATCCAGGGGCTGTGAAATGGAATGACCTTCAGAAAGGAGGTGGGGAAATGGGGAAAGTAAATATCTCGGAGAAGCTACACAATGCTACGCATTAACGGGGGAAGAAACACACTTCACCCTGTGAACATTATATAAATTATAGAAAGCCATGACAAACCAAGGATCCCAACAGTGGTTTGTGATTGTCTCCCAGGACTCAAATATTGGTGCCAAAAAAGGAGCCAAGCCACTCCCCGCAGCCCAGGTCTTGCCCTCCGCTGAAAACGCCGGCGGCTGCTGTTTACCCGCCACGCGGGGAATTGCATAGTGCATCAGACCATGGTGAAGACCAGCGACAAGCAAGTCTGATTGGTGGTTGAGCCACCTTATATACCCCAAATGTCTGACATTATAATCTGTATGTTGATTCATTTTTTTATTTACATGCAGTAATTATGTATGTCTGTGATGTTGTTTGATGTTTGATATGATCAGAGTATCAGAGCATGAAAAAACTATGATATGGTCAATTGGGATCATCATCTGAATCCCATTTGTTGCATGGGCGGAACATGAAACATATTTGAAGCTCCCGTGAGCGTGCAGGGCACATGTCGGATGTTGGAAGGTGTGAGATTGCACTAATTTGTGTTACGAGTACTGCAGGATGACGGTTTGCTTGGGCTTTTGGTCCAAGATAGTACTTACCATGTAGTTAGTCAAGAACAGAGTTTGCTCCACGAGCAAAGCGCTCAAGCTGAAGCGGCGGCACCTCAAAATCCGGTTTATGATCACTGTCCCAGACTATTTTTGGGGTTACCCCATTTTAGGAAACCTCCACATGTGTATAGTGACCCCCAGTTCCTGAGAAATCTACATCCAGGACATCGTCAGCACCATCCTGAAACTGAAAAAAATGCAAAATGGTTCAGGTCACCACTCCAACTCCAGAAGGTTAACTTTCACATTGTTCACATGCCATAATAAATATATCTAAGTACATGCATAAAACCAATAAAACCTAAATCTAAATATTGCGCAGTATCAACCTTCAATGTTCTCCTGCAGTCCTCAGGCCGCACCAGCCTCGCAGCATGATGTTTTTTTTAGTCGCAAGAGATCCGGCACGCGGCGGGACTCTCTTTGCACATCGCTTCATGCGCCTCCCACCAGAGCTGATCCCAACCACTCCGGAGCCGTTCGTGGAGGCGTTCCTGAGGCCATCCATCGAATGGAAATGGGACAATGGGATGCCAGGACTGGGACCAAATAAAGAGGATATCTATGCTATGTATACTGTATATGCATATAATATATAGACACATCAGTTATACATCCCGGTTATAGCACAATTTTTGAACAAACATTATAATTATAATTACATACATACATTTATATATTATATACTATATTACTATATGAAGAGGTTCAAAGGGTGAAAAAATGAAATGTGAGAAGCAAAAAGGGAAACGGCAAAAAGCCAATTCCTTGGGGTTCAAACCCAAACGAGACAGTCGTCTTTGCATTTGCTTCACAAGAAGCTCAAGAGCTTGAAAGGTCAGTCATGATGGGAGTTGGGCTACAACTGCCTCCTGTATGAGCTACCTTTCCATGTTTGAAAGCATTCCTGGCTGGTTTGTGCCGTTGGCTCCATACATTGCCTTCTATCAATCATGTCCAAAGTGACAACTTCAAATAGCTGATGTCAACCCACTGATGAACATGAACAGAATCTAGGGTACAAAACCGGCAATCTGCAATTAGATTCGACTAGCGAGCCTTGTGGGTGATTCATCTTGACCCGGTAAACATGGTGTTTATATCCAAACTGTGTCTGCCGCCTGCCGCCAAAGGCTCCCAAGGTTTACGCATTGACCCTGGCCAGTGTAGGATCTTTGGCGACCCCGTCAAGGAGCCGCTCCTGGGGTCATGGACTGGCTGTGGAGTTGAAGATAGGCGCAGTCAGAACTGGGGCACCAAACCGACCTAGTTCTAGATGAACAATTCATATATTTCTTGCAGGGGTCACTAGACAATTCTGGGCCAGACCCATCATTACTAATTCCTGAGGAAATATCAAGTAACCATATGTAACCAAAAATTAAACGACAATCAAACACAAAAGCTTCTACTCATAAAATCGCGCACATTCCTTGTTCTTTGAGCTCCACGCCTTGAACTTAGTTGTTCCGTCCCAATCCCCGCAAGTCCATTAAGTGGCACCAGTCCTGTAAAGGAAAACAACCAGTCTCTTCATGAGAGAACGGATGTTCAACGTCTTGAGATCTTCAGGCACAACTCCTCGAAACTCTGAGCCCGGTGCCCCAAAAACATCAAAAACCAGCCGCTCGGAAAATCAGGACTTAGATTATTTTAGATGTATGTATGTAGATCGTGTAGGTTCCTTCCGTACAGGGAAATACTGGGCATGTTGCTTTGCACCAGGTTCTCTGCTGGTCAGGCATGTTCCACTTTAAACATCTTGAGGTGGGTGGAGTCAGCGACTTCAGCATATCAGCACCCCCAAAAAGCAAACAAGCTAGAAGCGGAACATCGCTGGTATAGTATCCAGAAGCTACTATTCAGAAATCCTTATTGTGTGACTGTGAATCTGTGTTGCAGTTCCAGATCGCCTTTTCCATCCCCATAGGCCCATACCAATCTACAAGCATAAATCAAACGGAGTGATGACACTACCGGCAGATTGCCAAGGTGCCATAGTAGACCATGCTGAAGACACTCCTGGCGCACAAGTCGAATAGAAGAGGGAAACTCATTGGACTAAAACTACGCCTGCACATCTGAACTAAGCGAGGCCCTCAGGGGTAAGAGTGATGTGCAACCAAAATGGTACACCCCGCATACCTTCGCCATTTTAAACAGTTCAGGCGTAATTAGTAAGAATCCGGGGCTGAAGTTGACATGGAAGAAAGGAAAGGAAGGGCCAAAATGTGCCTTTGACTGGTGTATTTGTGCGCATATTAGATCATGTGCAAGCCGCACTGATAAAACTGAGTCACAATGCTCCATTCTCTCGTCACTGACCTATTTATATGGCTGCACATCCCCGTGGAGGAATGCACGCGAATTGCAGGGACAAATGGGACCAATGCCATTTGCTGGATTTGGCCGAAGTTTCATCCGCCGAGGCACTTGAAATCAACAAAAAAATTGTAATCCGCCGGCAGCACACCTAAGGATGAGGTCCGGCGAGGTCTTGAAAAGCGTTGACCCTTCACTGATGGTTGGGCAACCCATCTTGATGCATAGGACATGATATTTTTGGGGAATATCTGCGGGTCCTTACAGGTAGGAATGGACATGGACATTCTTGAGACCACGAATCCGGTTTCGCTATGAGGCTTTAGAATTTCGTATATTATTTGACAAACATGTTTGGATGCAGGAAATGTTGCCGCTAAAACCAACCCTGCTGCAGAGGCAGTGGAACGCACTCATGAATACACAGAAGAAGAAGAACTAAAAGTTCTTCTGCGCATTGCTCATTACATGTATAATTACTATGAGGCTATTAATCGCGAAGAACTGGCTGGGAAACAGCCATTCTTGGGTGGTGGCTTGCGCACATCCCAGAATAATTGGTCAGTTGGGGATCAATCCACCGGGTAGGGTTGAAATGGGTTGAAAATTAACAAACGATCGTAAAAACCATGTTAAGCCATCAGCCAGTTACTCAATTCAATGTGACTATATCATGTTATATCATTTTATGTCATACTATATAATAAGAATTATGTCATACATCATCATACAATATCATACATCTCTCTCTCCCCATTTTCGCCGGTGATCTTTCCCTTTCCTGTTGGCAAACCCCCATCTACGATTGCTTCACCCACCAACCCGTCGCCGGGCGGCAATGGGTCGGATCCGTCACATTCGCCTCGACCAAGGCGGCGTCCGGCCGCCACTGGCCAGTCCGAAAGGCGACTTGCCTCAAGGGGCAGCTACTTATGGCATCTTATGGCCTTATGGCTGGTGGGTTCAACCCATCTGAATAGTCAATTGAGATTGGGATCATTCTCCTAGGTAGGATTGAACATAGAAAATCCGATGGAAACCACCAACCAGTGACCAACCAGGCCTGGTTGCAAGGCATCCTCGTTGTTTGGTGCAAACGTGTCCGAATCCGGCATTCTTAGACTCGCTAGCTACTTCAGAGTGGGCGAATTAGATCGAATTATATAGCACGGAATATCATGTCCACGTCCTAGCTCAACAGTGGGAAGAAACACACACACACACATATATATATATAATTATATATATATGGTCATCAAATCAAGCACAACAACCGTAGTATATAACCAGCTGCTTCCAAATGGCTGGGGCAATGTTGCAATGCCAGGAGGTGACTTTGCACATCCTGAAAACTTCCCCGCGACAAAGTTGGTGACGCCTTTTCTAGGACCATATTGGTTCCAAAAGGCATCCTCCAGACTTTGCAAATCGTAGCCCCAGAAATTGATCCTAGGAGGCGCACCAGAAAGGTTTGGTACCATGGTTACCATGACATCAAGCTGGCGCAACCACAACATACACCAAGCATCTTCACAGGTCAAAGATGTTCAAACTATCCAACTTGAAATGGCATCACAATACTCTTGACATTGACAAACATTGATCTGGAAACTTGCAGCAACTGGAGGCCCACTATTGCCCAACTTCCATTTGCAGTAGCACTGGTTGGCACTCTGCGGCTTGGACTTCTCTACTGGCTTGATCAAGGTTCTCGAAATGGAACAGGGCATTACCCAAATCATTGTAGCTCACACTTCGTGATGCAACCAAAGGTGTGGTATGGTTTATCTCTAATCCACTATACCGATATGTATAAATATATGAATAGATGATTGTCACGATTGCAGGAGAGCTAGCCTCTGATAGCCTCTGTGGTCATTCCGCTGACAGCAAATTTCCAACCGGATACTCTGCAGCATCCCATCGGCCAAGACTCAATGGATCATCTTTGAAGTCACCCGACTGGATCCGCCGCACCAGGTGCTGAAAGAAGCGCTTGTTGGGATGCACCACACGTGCTGCATTGTTCAAACGAGTCTGCTTGGATGCCATCTTTGTAGCATCATCCGGAGACCATAGCGGCAAGGGATCATGCGACATAGCGAAGACTGGGACACTGAATAGTTCATCGGCAGAGTCGACCATCAGCATATCCTGAGCTGTAACAACTATGCCAAGCTTCCCCAGAAAGATAAGATGAGAAAAGAGATATGGGTTTAGTTGATGAATCCGAAGAGATAGAGATGATACCTGTTGATACCACTTGAGACCCGTTGATGATATGATTCTTCCCAAACACAGCTAAGTAGTTCTGGGATGTTCTGGTGCCCCTCTTGCTGCCATGCCTCATCATCAAGCATCACCAAGGTGTCATAAGATGACAGGTTCCATACTGCCAGCTGGCCCATCGTAGGAACCAAATTTCGGCCTCGCGGCCCAGTCAACCAGTCTACCGAGCCAAGCTTGGGCTGGAATTGGCTTTCCCTGTGTCATCTATGGCTATGGATCAATACCTATACATACCATTTTTAGGGGATGAACATCCATTTACCAGCTATTTTGGGGTTCACTAGGTACCAGGGTTTTGACCCATCCCCCTATCATTCATCAACCAAAAGTGATCATCCAAGGCTCCAAGGCCAACCACAGCTGCCCCTTTAGCTGCCCGCACCTCGAAACCAACTCAGCTTCCATTCGTAGTCTCGAGGGACCTTCATCACCAACGAAGGCGCGTGAAAATATTCCAATCGCAGCCCATCGGCCAGCAGTTCCCTGCGAATATCCTCAGGGATTGTGGCCTGGCAGAGATTGGAATAGCAAAGCTTATGAGTTTTCAATAGTTTTCACATGCAGATTCCGAGTGACGCGCACGACCGACATCTTTTGTTGAGGCCGTAGTTCCAAGAGTTCAGCAAAATGTGAGTGGGCCACACAAATTCCCGAAACCCTGTGGTACGATCACGAACCCACCATTCGAACCCGAGCCTAGATTACAAAAGCAATATCGTAAGTTTAATGTATATTATATATATAACTATCGAATACAATCAACCTTTGTACAATTTTTTACAGATAGTCTCGCGCCTTTGGGAACACACATTGAACCATAAAAAACAATGATTTCATAAAAATGTCCTCTCCCTCCGATTTATCCTTTCTCGTTGAGCATGGTGTTTTTGAGGACCCGCTGTGGCTGGGTCCGGTGGGTTCAGTGTGCCCATCTGCCTGGGTCAAAACCACGAAGGGCCTTTGTTGCTTGGACTTACGTCGGATAGAGAAGGCCAAGGTCCTGGGCGATCAAAAGCTAACAGGCTTGGACGGTTGGACCATGTTTCAATAATTTTCAATATATTTCATATGTTGCATTAATGTGTCATTATTCTTCTTTTATATATCTAGTGTACATGTATATATTAGTATATCATATACTTATGCATCATCTGTTGCACTTTGATTTAAGACCTGTCGTTTTTTCTCAATTATCATCTTTCATAAATGGTGTGAAGGACAAGACTAACAGGAGTTGCGTTTTCACGGCTTGAAGGCGGTTGGCCCATTGCAGTACGAGTAGCTTACATAATTCCATGGTCATAACATCTGAGAGGTGAAGCTTTTGGCACATCAACTGCCCAGTTCATAGTCTTGCTGAACATGACTATATACCTTTTTTCGTAGCTGACCTTGATAAACATTGATTCCGTTCCAGCACCTTGCATATCTATGCATCTGTTTGGGTGTTTTGTCGGTCCTTACTACCTCAGCATGTAGAGCGATCTGGGCCCAGGGCAGCTCCGGTCCAGCAAAGAGAGTACACACCCATGCCTGCAAAAGCTGGGTTTTTACCATCCCAAATATCCAAATGAAGTGCGGAAAATGGTGATAGAAATCTGTATTATCCCTTGCTGTGTCTTCCCTTTCAAAATGGCATTGGAGACAAACTTGTTGGCTTCCCAGGGCCATCCACAAAGCGATCATTCGCACTGCCAAACACCCAATGCCTCGTTTCCTCTTGTCGAGACATTTCCAAAATAGTCCAACATGATCATGCAACTTACGAATGGAAAGCAACTGATCTCGATACATACACAATTTTACGGGAGCGATTTCTATAGATTTCTATAGGATGGTGGGCATCACCTGCATCTCCCCACCGAGCCTCTCTCTTTTCATGTGACACGACCGGTGTCGTCGACTTCGGCGCTGGAAAAGAGTCTAACTCTGCCTGCAAGCGCAGTGCTGGAGCACCCAGGGCTCACCAGCACCCAATTTGTGCACCTCACCCATCATTCTGCTGCTGAATTATGACATATTATGGCTCACCCGAAGATGATTGAGGCCAGTTGAAGATGATCCAGCGAATCCCAAGCATCCATCAACCTCTCTCCAGAACTGGCCGCAGGATTATTTTACTGGAAAACCTATAGTTGGATAATGTATGATGTTGGGTATAATTAGTTGGGGTAATTGGTCAAAATCGGCTAAAAGCATCTAAAAGCCACTGTCCTCCAAATTTTCCCTTACAATCAATCCACTGACCATAGCGGGCCTGAAAATCTTTCAGGAAATCCGTCTCCATGAGCCACTCCCCCTGCCAACGTGCATCACCAACCGGGCAAATCTGGCTGGCGTTCACGACCGCACCTTGCGACATGATCGGCATGGGACACATTACTGTAAATGAGATGAGGCACTCTAATAAATCCCAACCCACCAATTTTCGTTCGTGTTCAGATTCACCGTTTCGCATCGTTTCGCCATCTGAATTTTAGAGTGTCGAACTTCTACCAACAAACTGCGCTTCAAAAAGCGGATGAACTTTCTGCACAAAACCCAAATGGATAAACATAAAAATTGGCTAATGGACCTACTAATGAAATGCTGATGGACATTTGACCCAGGATATGTCTGATGATCTCAACTCCTGCGACCATTGCATCGCTGACATCCATGGCATTCCATGGCGCGCCTGGTTTTTTTTGAGGAACCAGAAGCCAGTTCCTGATTCACAGAAACAAATGCTGCGGGAACGCCAGGGAATGTTCTTGGTTGTTCTTGCTTGGAGCTATGCGCCCTTCATTATTACAGTATGCCATGTCTTCTGACTCTCAGCCAGCCTACAAGCAGCTTCTTAAATTCTCTTCGGGTTGAGATGGTGAAGAGCCCACAAACATTCAGTTTGTCACGGAAAAAGGGATGAAGAAACGATGAAACATACGAAACATGATCATCAAACATGTTCACATCTAGGAGCCTAGGCACTCGAGCTTCCTTTGGAGCTGGTGCAATCCATCAAGGAGCTTCAAGCCGTTTGAGGACATACTGATGCCCAAGAACAGATTTTGCGCCTGCATGCACCTGAACAGGTTCGGAAAAGCTGAAGCTCATTGGGAAAAGCATAATGGATTGCCTATCAAAGAACTGTGGCAAAGAACATTGCACACCATGCCCAATTTTGCCAGAAAAGTGTGGTATAGACCATGCCGAAGTATTCAAATGGAGGCTGACCATTGGGTTTACCACAATGCATATACTTTTTTTTGCATATATAGATAATATGTGATCATATGTATAATATGTATATTAATATATATATATATGCGTGATCATATGTAAATATATATACCTGAGAAGGGGTGGAACGAAAGCCAGCGCTTGCTTTTTGACTCGCGCGGGGGCGCGTGAAACTCCACCTCATCCATATGGCATGGCTCAAACATGAAGCGCCCCAACATCAACAATTGCTATCGGGTCATAAGTTTCCAATCATTAAATGGACCTTTTTAGGGTAAACTCCACGATTTTGTAACTTCTATATCCAAATATGTTTCCTACAATGTACTGCGGCATTGTGAAAAGTTCTATCTCAAGTTCCGCAAATCCGCCTTTGGTTGCTCATTTATCTTAAAACAGCGCAAGTTTGCTCCCACCTATTGTAGATAAAAAATGCCCGCTTTTTTGTGTGAACAGTGGTCATGTGACCTCTCAAAGTCTAAATTGTTTTCTCCCCAGAATCGTGGTCCATGCTTCTCCGCGAAGTTCCGCAACATTTTGGCCGTACGGTGAGAAATCAAAACATAGCTCTACTCGCAAAATGGGCAGTGCAAACCCAAGACAATATTATAACATACGTAAGAAAGGGTATAAGAACGAATGAAAATCGAGGAAAACAATGCAAAACCCACGGGAAATATAGAACAGTGGCGAACATGCAGTCCAAATCAAAAGTATATATATTTAGGCCATTTACAGACCTGGGTGCCCCCCCCCACCCCCCAAGGGTCTGGAAAATAGGTATTTTACAGGAAATGTCGCGGAATAGCATCATCCCTGACATCGATAGAGATAATTGTTTGGCATCCCGGAAAATCTTCTCAGCTATCACACTCGCCAAACATCCCTTTTAAAAGGCACACATACTATCACGGACGTACAGATGCATATCATTCCCGTCATTGCCATTAGAAGATTCAAATTCTTTCTCAATGTTTTAGTACAAGATTCACTTTTAGTTCTGTTTCAGCCTTCTCAGTACGGCCTCTTACAATGATATTGCAGTCTCCTAACCTAGGTGGCTCCTGGGCGCAATCTTCATTCCAATGAGGCCTGGAGCCTATGCATCACTTGACAGTCGACTCAGTTCTAAACCGGAAAGACTATTCCTTCCGTTTACCAGTAGATCGTTTTTGTAGTTCTTATCACAAAACTACCAGAATCAGGGAGGCACCAAAAAACGTCAAACAGCTTTAAGCATTATAAATACTCTAATCTGCAGATTGTATTTATTTTTCTTACTCTGCGAACGAAATCACACTTTTCTAACTTCACACAGATTACCATGAAACCAATTTTCCCATGCAACTCCTAAAATCTTACAACTCATACATCTTTTTTCCTATACCATCCGCATCTTGCTCCAAGGTTTCATGGCAATGTCTTGTACGCGAGTCAGCCACTATTTCCTATCACCAAACTACATTGCTCATCATCTAACATTATCTACAGAAACCAAATCGGATTTCCTGCTCAACGTTTCCGCTCGTTGACATTGTCTTGGTTTTCACTGTATTATTAAAGCATTTTTAGTTATAACATTTTCCTAGGTTTTCACTGTATTTTTCTAACATGTTACATGCCTCCTAGCATGTTCACGCGTGTCCTCCATGTTGTACTGTTTTCTACATCGTTTCCTCTAGTTGTTACAAGCATTTCCTAGCTTGTACACCGTTTTCCTAATATTGTCACAACTTTTCTTCCAGTTTCCACTGCTTTTTCTCCCGTTTCCTGTGGTTACTTTCTTCTCTTTTGTAGGTTTTCACTGTGTTTTGTCCAGCTTTTTTCATTACATGTTTCCTACCATTTTCACCGCTTTCCTCTATGGCTTTTTGTACCACATTTCATGCATTTTCAATATATTGTTCCAAGAGTTTTACCCGTCTCCTTCAGTTTCCGATCGTTTTTGCACCATTTCCTCTGGTTGTTATCGCATTTTCCTGCACTTTCACTGTATTTTTCCAGCATGTTTACTGCATCGTCATAGTTTGTTCCTAGCAGTCGCTCCGGTTTCCTCCATGTTCCGACAGATTTTGCACCCTTTATTCTGGTTGTTATCACATTTTCCTGCCAGGTTGTTATCACATTTTCCTTCACTGTATCTTTCCAGCATTTTCCAGTGGATTTTGCACGATTTCCTCTGATTGTTATCATGTTTTCCTGCAGCTTCTATATCCTCTTCGTGGGTTTTCAGTCTATTCATGCATTTTTAATCTATTTTTCCAAGAGTTTTACCCGTCTCCTTCATTTTCCGATCGTTTTGCACCATTTCCTCTGGTTGTTATCACATTTTCCTGCACTTTCACTGTCTTTTTCCAACATGTTTACTGCATCGTCATAATTTGTTCCTAGCAGTCACTCCGGTTTCCTCCATGTTCCAACAGATTTTGCATGGTTTGTGTTTGTTCCTAGCATTTTCCTCTGATCGTTATCATGTTTTTCTCAAGTTTCATTGTATTTTCCAATACATCCTCTTCGTGGGTTTTCAATATGTTTTGTCCAGCATTTTTTTACTACATGTTTCCTATCATTTTCACCTCTTTCCTCCATAGGTTTTTGCACCATTTCCTCTGGTTTCCTGCATGTTCATACCTTTTCAATATTAATATTAATCCAAGAGTTTTACCTGTCTCCTTCATTTTCCGATCCTGTTTGCACCATTTCCTCTCGTTGTTATCACATTTTCCTGCACTTTCACTGTATTTTTCCAGCATGTTTACTGCATCGTCATGGTTTGCGCCTAGCATACGCTCCGGTTTCCTCCATTTTCCAAGGGATTTTCCATGGTTTGTTCCTAGCATTCGCTCCGTTTTCGTCCGTTTTCCAGGGGATTTTGTACGATTTCCTCTGATCGTTATCATGTTTTCCTGCAGTTTCATTGTATTTTCCAATACATCCTCATGGTCTCTCCGGCCACCAAAAAGGCGGACCTAGGGGGAATCGATACCCCACCGTCAGCAAATTACCTAGTGGTACATAATCCAGCAAAATGCTCCGTTTTCTGGCGCTCAACACAGGGGCACGGCGAGATTTCGTTCCCTTTCGGCAACCACCCCCCCCCACACCCCCTATTCTCACTTCGTTCGCAAACAGCAACTAGCCAGCTAGCTGGCTTTCGTAATATATATATTATATACATATGTTATCTCTACCTTACATTCCAGTTAGATCTCTGCATGCAAAAAATGAATATATATATATATTGCATAATTATATATAATTATATACTACATACGTATATATGTATATACAATTATATCAGACGCATACAGACACATAATCTGCTCAAATCAAAACGCTGCCATGCCACTCGCTTATACCAGGCACGCGTGGAAGCAAACCAAGCACCTTGGAATATGAGATATTATGAGATGAAAAACATCTGAAGGGGAAAACGGAACCTAACCGCAGTCAAACAATGTCAAATATGATCAAAGAAATCATTTGTGCGGTCACAACATGCCATGTCTTTTACATATCGTGGATCCTTGCTGACAACCCCAATGATGGAGGACACAAAAGATCAGTAACCATGGTGGGGCCCTGCATTGCTGCCACTGGTTTCGAATGATCTTGAAGTTGCCTCGTCAGTTTAGCCATCCTCGTAGCGTATTATCATAGAACCATATATATATATATATATTTATATATTATATATTATATAGATTATATATTATGAATATACTATATTATATATATATATATTATCATAGCTTATCATCAGTTCCCTATGGCTTTTGGTTCCCCCACAACCAATGACCACGACGTAGCTGCAGCTGGAAGCACCATTTCCTGTGCCCTGCGCACCAAGGCTTGTGCAGCATCGGTGACCGACGACACGGACGCATCTGCCATGTCCGCCACAGCAACAGCCTGGTCAAGACGTCAAGATTGCACGCGTGCATCACTATTCATTGCATAATTCGTGCATCACTTGCGGGATTTTAATGGATTTTATGCAGAAATCAGAAAAGAATCAATGTCGCTGTGTAGCTGTAGCAACCACACCTGAATCCTATGGAAGAACCCACAGTTTCCCACAGTTTCCCCGGTGGGTCCCCAGATGTCCCCAGGACGCCCCTGTCCTGCCACACCAGTTCCGAAGCCAATCGCAGGGGACAGCTGTCTGGCCGATATCCCAAGAGCTCGCAGAAATTGCTGGCTCGGTCGCGGCGCCAAGTGGGGCCCTGAGGGAGTGCTCCGACCTATCCACCACATCCTCTTTACTGGCTATCCACTGGTGAACATGCTTGAGTAAATTTGAGTAATGCCAAGTAATGTTAAGTCTTTAAGTAGATCTAGAATGATCGTGAATGATCTAGATATATCATTTGCAGCACCCAGGTGTTGCATAATCAACTCACCAGATGGCTCAGGCTTTTTGCTATACAATCACTGTCTAATCGGTCCAAAGCATTGGCTTGGCCCCCAGCCTGGGAGTGGAGCGCCAACTGCGCAGCAAAGATGTCATCCAAATGTCGCTCCATCAGCCCATCAGCCCTCAAGGTCACGGCCACCAAATGCATCACGCCAAAGGTAGGCCATCCCGTCAAAATCAGCTCCGACCAGGGTGGAAGCCTGCCACAGCTGGGGTTGCGGATGGGAAGTGTGGGATGAATGCTTTTGGAAGTCTTCTTGGCATGGGAAAGTTCATGAACTGAGAAGATGGTAGCAAGACTGCTTCTGTCCTTTATTGGCTCCAGAAGATATGAGCGCAAATCAACAACTTTGCCAACATTTCTGGGGATTGCCAGTTCCATAATGTTCAACAATTCCATACCAATGTGCGCCCCTCTCTGTCTCTCCCTATTTATGCGGGGAATGGTTAGTTGCCCATCTTGCATGCCTCAGGATCAAAGCGTAGGGGTCGAGATGAGAACAGGTGCTCTTCTGGTTGATGAAGGAAGCCATGCGCGATGCAGAAGACATAGATTTCCTCATGGAGAACAGTGTAATGGATGTCTATTGCGGGCTAGGCAAATCAGGTTCATGTCAGATGTAATTATACACTAATACCCGGTATACCCAAGATTCCTTTCTATTTCCAAAGCTTCTCTAGGAAGTATTTAGGACCGTCCAAGCTCTACAAAGGTTCCAAGGTATCCCCTGCCACCCGTCCACCTAGAAAACACTATCTTGGAGAACAGCAGCGCCCACTGTGTGGAAGACATTCACAAACGTTGTGACGACATGACGTTCGCACCATGCACTGCAAGAACACATAATTACCGATCAAAAGGACAAACTGATAAATTGTTCATCAGCAAAGAGGAACCCCCTGACATCGCACCATATCTTCTCTCTGATTCTACCGTCGGGAGATGGATTCCTCCTTCAGGGGTTTTATACAACATGAATGCTCCAAAGTTGCGACACCAGCATCATGTTCAGTGCAGTCATGGTGCCCACTGGGCAAACTCTCCTAGGTTTTTTCCAAGTCTGGCGCTGGCAACCCTGCTTGTCTGAAGCTGTGGTGAGGTCTCATTTTTTAGCAGTGAAGTAATGGAAATTCAGTCCTCAGCATCTCAGAACATCCTGAAACCAGAGTGGTTTTACTGCCCAAGGATCAAAGATGTCTCACAGGAACCGCAGCTACACCAGCAGGATGAGAGGTCCCATGCATATTTGGACACCTCGTCCTCGGTGCCAAGCATCCACTTCACCCTCAACTCGTTTTGCATCCCTCACACAGCTTTACTTTATCTATTGGAAGACAATTAGTGCAGGTATATGATACACAGATATGACACATGCATTTCAAGAAATACCGCAAGCACGTGGTTTCAAATGCGTCACGCAAAACATAGCCAAGTAGAACCTGGCAGCACAATTATGGGGGATCAAGACAAATTAAATCAATCAAGGCCTGCCTTTATGCCAAAAAATGTATAGAATGGTCTATGTCTATGTTGGTGTCCGTCCATATTTTGGGTTCTTTGATATTGATCCATGCCATTCCATCCCCCCAAGTAAGTTTGTCCAAACCTGGAGCGCCCCTAAACTCCAATGGCTATATCACCATCTTCCATCAATCCCTAATTCCTGAGAAAAATCAACCGTTTTGGAACGATCACCCATGTGGGAAGGAACATAAATCACTGGAACAAACAATATCAGCCATTTCTTCACGGACAAATCATCCATTTTGGAAGTATATATAATTCCTCCAGCCCGTTTTGGGACAAGGTGCCCAGTTTCCCTTCTGCGCCACGAAGTCCCGGAAGCTCTGCCGTGCTTGTGACCAGGGCAACTTTTCACTCTCCAGGCCGCCCCGCATGGTGAATCCTTCCTCAGCTGGGAGCTGCCGGTCCTTCTTAGATCTATATATCCCTTCTTTTCAGATCTATAATCTATAAACATCTGCAAATGCCCAATATGTCCAACCTTCTCATGACTTTCTACGACAATGGTATGCCATTGTGATCAGAGACTTGATGATATTCAGTTACCACTGGCAAAGGGGTAATTTCTGTACCTGATTCATTTACAAGAACGTTAAGAGGATTCACAAAGAAGTTCAGAGCACATGGAGGAAAAAAAACTTCGGAATGAGCTCTCCACAACTAGAATGTGCTATTTGATCCAAGTGATGGAAGTCTACAATTCAAATCAATGAAACCCGAAGGGTCAAGTCAGTGCTTTACCTTTGAGTAAATGAACTGCAAACAAATAGATACAAATAGTCGATAGTATGCAGTATGCTTCAGGTACTTAGCCATCTGATCCAAAGACAAGGCTCACAAGAAAGGGGGTAGGTTGTACCTAAGTGCTGAGTCGATGGCAGATGGTGCAAGACTGCAGCAAGCAAGTTAGAGATTGCATGCTTTTGCTGTAACAAAACCAACCGAAATTCCTGTAGCCTGTAGCCTTGCAAAACTGCGCCGGGCTGTATATCTGATTCGATTCAGAGAAATAGATCCAGAGAGGATTTCAGCCCATCAAACTGAAGCAAGGAAGCTCCTGGTCTTCTACACAGTATGCGATCATATACGTCCATGAATATGCAGTAAAAGGATGTAAAAGGAACTAATGTAGTACGAAGGATGTGGGCCCTGATGTGGCATCGGCAAAGAGTCCATGAAGCCTCCCAGAAGCTCTCAGGCATGGTGTTTCTATGGTGACATCATGATGCGCCATGTGTTTGCCGAGCCTTGTTGCATCTCAGAACCAGAACAAAGGGACAGTCAAGAATAAAAACATCCAGGCAACAAAAGCATCAAAAGCAATAGAACTGGTGAATTATGGTGAATGATGATGAACTGGTATCCCAAGTGCACCTAAGACCACCTACAATCACTCACACATCACCTGCAATCACTCAGCAATGCTTTCCCCTTGCCTGGGGGCAACTTGACTCCAGGATTTGCGTGACACGCATGTAGCAAAAAGACCACGCATGGCAGCCATGGGAGGCCAGGACTCACGGCACTCATGGCGCTGGCGCTGCGGGGCCATTGAACACATTAACCAATGGTTGGTCCTTAAAAAGAAACAACTCACAGTGTCACTGACTCTTGTAGCTCAACCATCAAAAATCGCAAGAATGATCAAACGTTGGGATTGGATGTGGAATGGCCACCGTTCTGGCAGTCTCTTCAATGTTCTTCTCTTCCTTTGATTGTATTTCTCTCATGCGTTCTTGAAGTCAAGGTGGCAGCTGATCCTAACCAAGAGTCAGTCTCCCATGCAAATGCATGACCCATTCCTCTACCCTATTCTCCAATTTGTTCTACTCCAGGCCTTCCATGGTCAGTAGGGTCTTGCTGATCTTGCCGTGCATCCCTTCGTCCCAAGGCCCTTTTCCCAGCTCACACATACAGCCTTTGCAAGGACTCGTCTGCCTTGCTCCTCTCAGTGCGAGCAGCGTCCCCTCAGAGATTTGAGGTCGGTTAGATCGGTCAGTGGGTGGTTTTCATTGGGAAAAAATGGGACACAAACAGCCATGGCTGGACCGGACCATGCTGGACCATCAGCGCAACAGGACAGAAACATGGTGTAGTGTGGCAAGCTGTTTGGCAAACTCCTTCCTCAACATAATGTTTATCATCTCAACATTGGATTCCTTCTTTGCCTGGTGCACCAAATGAAACATTCACCCACTACTTTGGTCACATGCAGAAACCTATCTTTATCCATCTTCCATTTCTGTGCTGAGCATCTGAGATCTGCCATGCAAATGCATCTCTTCCCCTCATCGGACCGCAGCGCAGCCCTAGATGCAGCACGGATCACGGCATTCCTCGGTGAGGATCGGCGCATCCAAACCGACTGTCCAAAAGCTAGCTGACATCACCTGCTACAGTTTCTATCGTCATGCACCCTCTGGTAAACCAACTTACCTATGGAAAATCCAAGTTGGTAAATTTTGGCAAATCATCAATAGATAGATATAGATATGCCATTTTGATCCATTTTGCATAAAGAGCTACAATATATAATCTCGCCCCAGTGCCACCAAAGCTCTGGATGTCTCCACCAGAGAACTTCTCGAACTCCGAGGCTAAAGACCTTGGATAGGCGCTGGTTCTTGCCTGTCCCTGGACTAGGGGAAGTAGACGTTTGGAAACCTGAGAGCTGATCTCAAGACGCTTACCCCCTAGGTATCTGATGTTCAACAAGGTGGTATTAATTACCAGAGTCAATAATTGATCGGTGATTGGTCGATGTTTCTTTCAGCTCCGGTGAAGTCTGGAAGGCTCTAGGCCCCAGGCTTTAGAAAAACAGATGTGAGTCTGATGCACGCTATTAAGAAAACTGTCCAGCATGATGGACAGTACCCAATGCCAGTTAAGGCAACTCATAATTAGATCTCATATTATCCCGTGGTTTTGAGCAGTAACAGAGTTTGCAATCTATAGTAGTATAGCCGGTGCAGCTGGCACTGGCTGAACAATGCAGGACGATTCTTGGCTGATGTGTTGGGCACCCCCGATTCTGAGGCGTTGCCCATTTCTGCGGCTGGAAATGTCTGGCGGGTGATTTTCCAACCTGCACCAAGGTACTGGAAATCAACATCGTCACTGCGTGGAGCCAGCTTTGGCAGGCTTGCTTCCTGAGAAACCAAGCTTGGATTTGGACAAAAAATCGGTTCCAACAATGATTGAAGTCATATGAAACATGATCATTGTATATCATTGTCTTATATTGATATGATAAACAAGCTTTGCATGGAAACGCAATGCAACCCAACTGCATCAAGTGCAGTACTGTAGCTTCCAGTGCATGGAGGGTCATGTCTTCGTATTCTTTGAGAAATTTATTCCCAGACTTGACGAACGAAAGGATGCGGGGGAAATCAAGGACATGATAATGTCATCTATAGCAGCCCCTCTTAAAAAACATAGAATTATGAATTGGTCAAAATCCAGCACCTAAGTTAAGCTGTGATACATTGTTTTTTCTATCCCAAAGCTATGGTTTCTACATGTTCCTGCCAGGCTCATGGAATCTAAAGCTGCTGGGCTGCCTGGAGATAAGTGAAAACATGAGGTTCCCCAATGCAGAACTGGAAAAAAACATCTGAAGGAAACCGCAAACGTTCACATGTAAGAATGTAGATGTATGATGATGCAATTGGATGCAATTGGATTCCACCATCTCCAAATCCAACAATAGGAGGGTAGCCAGTGCAGTCATCATCTGCAGAGATGAAAGTGGAGAACCAAACCAGCACATGCCAACACGTGGATGGCCCGCCACTAAGATCAATAAGATCCAGCAAACAAGAAGAAAACAAATAGAAAACAGATATTTTGGAAACAGCCATGGTCAGCCTATTAGGCCTACGACAATTATGATCGTCCCATATCTTCCCAAGCCGGTCTGCAAAGATAGTAGCCTGAGAACCAACTGACGGCTCTGCGGCAAGTCACCCACAATTTGGCTCGCGTGGCACGGTCAGGTGGCGAAAACCTGAAACCAACACGGAGACAATTGATGCAAGTGATGCAAACTAGTGCTCACCCAGTTTATTCACAGGGGAGGTATCGATTTTGATAATGATCTATCATGATCTATCATGATCTATCACAATTTGGGGGCAACCCCAGAATTGATAGCCAGTGTGTATTTGATCAGGGTTGACATCACAATAAAGATCTATAAAGTTGTTTTAATGACCTTGATCAGGGGAGATGTGGAATCCATCCGAACTTTTGCACGGTCTGGCTCCAGTGAGTTCACTGCACATCACACATAAACACTGAAAAATCCACATAAATATCCGTTTTAATGTTGCACTTAAAATGGATCAAAATTTGCTTTGTAGCACTAGTTTATACATGTTTCTCCCACTGCTTTTCCCGTCCAAACCATCTCCAAAAGTCGCCAGATCTTTGCACCAAGGGTCTCCACCATGAAGCGAAAGCGTCGGAAAAAGGCCGAATCGATGGCATCCCTGGCGTTGGTGGTGAGGATGCACAGGCCTGGCCAAAGCCAGAGTGGTGAAGCCATTGATGGAGGATTTTCTAAATAAACATCATGGTAATATATGGTAATATATGGTATATAATATATGATATTTATATATGGTAATGTATGGTAATATATGATATATATATATATATATATATGTGGTAATATATGGTAATATGGTATATGTGAACAAATGAATCCTTGTTCCGGATGTAGTTATCAATTGCGGTACCCGTTATGCTAGTATTGCCGGACACTGATGGTGCGTGGCAAGCGCAGCTCGGGCCCTTTTCCTCGCACACGGACTTGAGCCAGCACGGCGTCCAGATGTACAGTTAAGCATGTACATCACAAGTGTCCTAGTGTTCAGTTCCCTTTGACACCCCCCATGCCCGTGGTATTCTTCGAACCACGGACACGAGAGAGGGAACTTTGAATTAGATTGTTTCTGCTACTTGAATTACGCCTATGTACATAAAACGTGCCATTCGGCTCCCCCTTCCCCACATACCCGTCGGGAATAATGGTTCAGGGTTCGCCTACTCTCTGGCTGTCGATGCTTCGGCGCTTTATCAAACTGTACAACGCGAATTATTGCTAGCTAACATCTACTTTTCTACGTTGGCTAGGCATACCACTCACCCGTCGGGAGAAATGGATCGCTTCGCTACTAAAGATTTACAATGCTAACTAACGAATTCACGTGCACAGTGCAGAATTCGTGCAGATTGGGAATATCAAAAATCTTGAACCTAAGCGAATTATTCTACTGCCTCGCTCAGAGTCCACTCAGTTGATCCTTTCCTGATCATCTGTTCATAAAGACGATACACATCTCATATTCCAGTGATCATCTTGACGGATCGAAGTAATTGGTTTACTGCTCACGGCGGACTTTCTTCCATTGAGGTGCTGTTGGAGTTCTCTCCCATCCTGCCGCACGTTTCGGAGCAGCTTTCGGCGATGAAGGCTTTGCAGGCGGTGCCTTTGATGGTTCATGGGATTTCGGCATAGCCTTGCCCTTTGGTGCACTAGCCGATGAGGATGATGCTGAACCAGTGCCTTCAGGTGTCTGTGAAGGTTGCGCAGTTGGTTTAGCAAACTTGGAAGCTGCAGTATGTCCAACCGCTTTGAATACTTCACTCACCACTTCGTCGCCAAGGGTTGGAGCCATCTTCGCTTTCATCTCGGTCTTTCCCCTCTGCGCCTCGGCCTCGGCCAGCTGAATAGCATAAGCCATCTTGCTGACAAAGTTTTGAGGTAGAGGAATGCCACACTGTTGGGCTGCAAAGAGCAGTTCTACTCTCTGTTCTTTCTCCCTCAGGCTCAGATATACCGAGAAAGCTGGGAGTTCGATGCAGTTGGGGAAGCCGTGGCTCCCGGAGCGAAAGAAGGTGTATGACTCGTGCTCCGGAAAGGTTCCTTTGAGCAGTCGTCGAAGGAAATTGCTGATGGTTACTCGCATCTCCTGTTTCCCTTGGGCATCAGCCTGCATTCGGTTCATTGGCATGAGAAAGCCTAATGACTCAGGAGTGTACCCAGCGCGTACCAGAAATTCCATCATCTTCTCATAGATCTCTAAAGTCTTGATGACAGGCATCATCATGTTTCTTGGTCGCCCTGAGTATAACTTCTCTCCTTCTGACCATGAATTCCTCTTCCCTTTCTGCTGAAAGAGTTCATCCAATTCCAGCTCCGTCGGTCGCTTGAGGTTGCCATCCTGGTCTTCTCCTGTATAAGGACAGAAGTCGTCCAGGTCCAGCCGGACTCGCTTGGTTTCCGTCATCATCTCATAGTACTCCTCTGGGGTCAGAGTGACTCTCTGTTTGTAGTAGAGCCTGAACATTGTGATGGCCTTTGACATGACAGCATTGTCATACAAGTGAGCCGCGGCCTCGGAGACATCATTGTTGATAAGTCCGTCTTCTGGCATACCCTTGCTGCCGCTCTCGAGGTTCTTGGTCCATGCTGGAAGTTTGGAAGAGGATTCATCTTCAGGTTCGACTTCCATTTCATCTTCGTCTTCTTCAACGATTTCGTCGTCTTCCTGTTGGGCTTCCTCCTCCTGATCCATTTCTTCATCATCGCCTTCGTTGTAGTCGACCTCGTCGGGATTGAAGCCATAGTCGTTGGATTCGGATACGTTTTCTTGTGCTTGATGGACCGTATCCTTGAACAACGATTCTTCTTGTCGACGAACTTCTTCATCGATCTCTTTCTTCGTGGCCTCATCTTCATCGTCTTCAGGAGCTTGTAGCCGATAGGGACGGATTCCACAACTTTCCAGTTCCGTCCAGCAAACTAGACACACTGCTAGTTTTGTCGGCGTCTCATTGAGACAGTGAGGACAATGGCGGCAACCTGATGTTTGCACCCTTTTGCGTTCGACTATGTAGTCAATCAGCTTGATGCGAGCCAGGTATTGTTCTTGTCCGCCAGGCTTGATGAGGTCGTTCTTGAATTGGTTGACGATGTTCATGGCATCCATGGCGGTTTCGTCAAACGGTTGATCTTCGGCGTCGATGCATTGACTTGCAACCCTCAAGATGGACTCTTTGGTGGCTACAGTTCTTGATTTGACAGTTCCAGACCGGACTACCTGGTCGTCGCCCGACGGGACGAACAACCGGAGCCATGTCTTATTGTTTTGGTCCTTTGGGTCCTGAATCCATCCTCCTTTGATTGCCGAGAACGGGATGATCTTTGGTGAGACGATCTGTCCCGAGTCAGTCAGTCGACCGCCATATTCCACCATCAAGGTCTCGGTCGGGATGAACAAGCAAATGTAGTCCCCCTTTCGCGTATCAACGCTCTTCGTGATAGTCCATGATCTGTGATCCCATGGCACATACGGGTTGAAGAACGTGAACATCCGATGACCTTCTCCAAGACCTCCTGGAATTAATCCCTGCCTCCAAATGCTTCGAAGGTTGGTCTTCTTGGTGATGTGGAAACAAACCGGTAACGACAAGATGGTGTTGGGCGCGATTGGATGTGAAAGTAATGAGGACAGCAATGAGACGTCGTCCCTTGAAGATCCTTCCTTGTGCCCCGTAGGAGCACGGACCGCCACAGGGTAGAGCAGTAGACCTTCATCAGGAATGTTCGTGTTCGCATCGACTTTGTTGTCAATGCACGTCAGGCTGGTGCGCTCGATGTCCTTGTTGATACCAAATGCCAAGACTTGTTCACGAACACGACGTCCATACCGGGCACAGTGGAACATGATCTTGAAGAGTAACGTCATGCGGTAGTTTGCCTCATCGACATTCCATGCGCTCTGATCATTTGCTCTCCCTTTTGGAGCAAGGAATACATGTGGCCAGCGTGCGTACTCGTGCCTCCAGATAGACTCGCATTTGAGTACCTCCTCTATGGGCACCCAGCCGGCGTCATCACATGACAGACTCTGTTGTTCTGATACCTTCCCCACGTTGTGCCGCAGGATCCTGTTTAGTGATGTACTCACCTTGTCCTCGTAGGTATTGAGTCGGTTGCCAGTCTCGAATCGGTAGTTGGCCGCATATTCTACACCGCCAAAGTAAGAGCAGTTGAAGAAATGGGCCCCCGTGGTCGGGATGATTTTCAAGAAACCATCTTGCGGCGCCTCGACTCTCTTGTAGAAGGGCTTCCTGATGTTGTTATCAGAGTAGCTTGCCATAAAGTCTGGCACTGACCAAGAGTCACCTCCTCCTCTGACAATAGCGTCTCTGACCACTTCGTTGAGGTCAACAATGTTCTGTGGTCCTAGCTTTGTAACATCACGTCCTTCTATGCAGAATCTGCCATACTCATCGAGGTCACCAACTTCAGACATAGTTCTGATGCTGTCGTACCATTGGTGTTCACCAAACCTCGATTTTGTAGGTTCATCCGTTTGCCCCGACCCATCAGTAGCACCTGAACCGTCCTTCTTGTGCTCAGGAGGCTCCATATCGACGTCATCAGATGTTGGACTATCAGCCTCGAGCGACGCTCGGACGGCCTTTAGCACTTTTCTGACTTCATCCCTCTTCTCATGTTCACATTCAAGATGGCCATGTTGGGTGCTACCACAATACAAGCACACGTTGACATCCTCAGAGACGGTGAAGAGTTTTCCCAACGCATCCAAAAGTTGTTGTTTCCCGGAATTCTCTGAGTCCCTGACCACATCGGTGGGGTCGTTCGCTGGCTCATCAGCTTCCTCCTCCCCAGGGTGAGCCGACGACTCGTCACCTGGCTTGGCATCGGCATCAGTGCCCATGCTGGCGTCACCCCCTGTGATGTTGTTCTTCCTGCGATAATGAGAGAATACCTGATCCTTCTCCCAGTCCGTGAGGCAGCAGAAATTGGCCAGCGAATCATATCCGGGGATTGCGTGGATGAGCTTCATGACCCTTTCGGCTTCTGCAGTTTGCAGTGTGCAGTCGAAGGATCCCCGTCTCTTGTCATTGATGGTGCTCGAGGTTCGGGAGGTCGATGTAAATTGAGCCAGTGCCTTTTCCAATCCATTGAGATACTCAGCTGGATCAACACTAGCATTGAAAACATCTACGACTCCCTTGGCCATATTGGCCACGTCCAAGACACCAAGCCAGAACTCGATGATATCTCCAGTTTTCTCGGCAGATGCACGGGAGAATCCAAAAATCTCGTTCCTCTCCTTCACCTCGGGAACGGCAACCTTCTCGAAGAAGTCTTTGTATGCGACATTTCCGCAATCCTTTGTGACTCTATAGATCAAAAGCCACTTCTTTGCAACATCATCGAAAACTCTTTCGCGATATATGCTGAATTGCTTGCCGCGTCCGTTCCGGAAAATTTCCAGAGCTTGCCTCTTCGAAATTCTGACTCCTCCCATGTGAGATAGAGATTTCATCAAGTGCTCCCCATACGCCAACGATGCATTTGAAATCAACGAAGACGCAGTAAATGTGAGCCATGTTTGGAATCCTTGATTGATGTCAACAATGTCAACACCAAGATCCTCGAATGCAACCTTCAACCTAGCTGCAAGGAGTAGTACGGA